AACGTTCGTTTCCCGAGAAACGCTGAAACTCGACGTTTCCAGATTTTTTTCTTTTTTTCATTTTTCGTGTACTCTTCGTACGTACGTCTCGAGAATCGCCGATAACGGTCAATAACGCAAAATAAATAGTTTCGTCGTTCGAGTAAATGTTAAAGTAATGACGATAGTATTTAAAATTTACGTTTGTTTGCGTAGCGTAGTTGCATCACGAACGGAAATGCAAATGGGTGATTTTTTTTACAACAACCTTCCAACGTTCGTCGCATCGTTAATGCAAATTAACATCGATTAGTTCCATTTCTCTTAATCCGCGAGGCGGAAAAAAAACGCTCTGTTTTTGCGGCATCGTCGTCGATTATATTTCCAACATGAAACATGGCGACAGCTGAAAAGTTAAAGTCAAAGTCTAAACGTCGGTCGAGCTTTCGCGCGATCGCCACTCTCTTAACCCGATCTATCGAAATTCTATCCGAAACTTTACCAAGATCAGTTACGTACTATCGTGCGTTATCGTATCGGCGTACGTATCGGCTGCCGATAGTTTTTGCCAATCTGTCAGTACGATTATTTAATTTTTTGATACACCTGGTGTACGCTATACGTCGCGGCCTACGATCAAAGCGACCCTGTGCTCCTCTCTTTCGCGACATAATTCCGCGACATAATTTCAGGCGATCGGTCCAAAGTTTAAGAGGCCGTTGCACCTCGATTTGATCAGCGTCGCTGTTCGAACGTCCGTGGGAATTTCATTGCGAATATTCCTTGGCAAAGGGAGAGGGAAAATTTTGCAAGCAGAACGTTCTTGCACGAAGCGGACGTGTAATCGTTGCGCCTCGCAATCCAAAAACATTGGAAACGATTTATCGCGTGCCATTCTCCTAACAAAAACTCGCTACGTACGTGCATACTACCGCGCAACTCCGATTCGCCAACGATACGACGTTGCATCGTAAGTTCGTTTCGACGTTGATGTTCCGATGCGAGCATCTTTATACACGAGACGTACGGAAGCGGAGTTGCAAGTGGACGTCGTCGAAGCTCGCGTATAAAAAGCACCGCGCGAACGATCCATGGTTATCGGAAGAGGTCGCGGATAAACGATCCATCTATAGCTCGCTCGTAGCCAAAATTAAGAGAGAAGAGAATAGAATAGCGCGATTATCGCGTAAACGGTTTGCACAATGCGGTATTGCAAAGACGCGTTACTCGCTGAAACTACCACGCACGTACCCTGCCGCTGGTACGTAGCCAGTACCGGTTCGCGTAATTCGTAGATTCGCGTGGCAGACGCGGAGAGGTCGAAAAGTCGATTCGCAACTGCCGATTGGACATACACGCGTGCAAGAAATTCTAAGCATCGGCGCACGCGATCGAACGACGCGCGTCTATCGTTGCTTGAAATATTGCGAGAAAGAGAAAAGCGAGGAGCGCGGATAACCTTTTGTGCGAAGGAACGAGAAGCAGAAGGACGGCTTGGAAAAAAGGGTTACGTTGTGCTCCGGGCTATAATCCCGTCGCGTCGACTCTCGCACGGCGAACGCGATAACGAAAGAATTTCTCCGCCGCATCGATCACATCCCGTCGCGTTCTATACGAAATCTAAAATTAACCGTTCGCACGATGGCTCGATTTGCGATCGTCGTGAACGAGTTACAAACGCGTATATTCGCTAAACTTTTTCCTCCTGTGACGCACATAAATTAATTTATGTTAAACGTGTTTGCGGCACATCGAACGATACATCGTGTTTACTTCGAACGCGAGGTTCGGCTATCGTGGTTTTTGCTCGACGAATTAAGGGAAAAGAGGTCGACACGCCGGTTCGCGATCGCTTCGAACCGTCTCGAGGTTTCAAGGTGCAACGAAAAACGTTTCGCCGCGGCCGTACGCGGACCGAAGAAGCGAGACGCTCGGTGTTCTGCCATGCTCGAGCGAACGTCGATCAGCCTTGTCGCGAAATCGCCGATCAACGAAACGTTCGTCCGTCTTTACCGCGTGTTGTCGTTCTCGCCTCTTGTACCTGTTGGGAGAAACGCGAGCAACGCGTTGATCGTCGTTCGTTATTATTGTCATCGTCGAATCGATTACAGGCAAAGCGAGATCCTTTTCTGTCGATATTCCACGAATAACTTGCGAAAGCGCGATTCGTCGCTATCTTACGCGTATCCTTGACATTATTCGTTCCTCTCCTCGAGAAAAGGTGTAGCTACGTTAGGTGGATTTGGCCGGCGGATCGGGTCTCTATACTCCAAATGGTCGGGATCGTTACATAAACTTTCGTGTTTTCGCGAAGACGGCAGAAGGGAGTGGCCGTTCGAAGGAAAACGAAACTCGCCAACGATCCGTGTCATCGACGGATCGCGTTCCAGATACAAAAACGGATAATTAAGATCGCGTTGTTACGTACGACGATGTTACAACGTCGCGATCGACACAGAAGCGACGATCGTTACTTCTTTTTTCTACGTTAATGATTCGTAAAAAAAAAAAAATCGTATGAAACGAACGTCGGCGAGGCGGAAACGTGACATTTACGTCGTCGCGTCGATTCACGCTTCTTCCGAACCGACAAAAGCTTCTCCATCGCGTCCCAGCAACGCGCAACTACGTCAACGATGTCCCGCACAAGGTTGATCTTTTTTCCAGTTGCGTCGACGACGCTTCCAGCGACTCATCGCGATCGTTAATTTATAAAAATTTTGCGGTTTGACAGGATTCCTGTTTTTTGACTCGACTGTTATTCGCGTCGATTTATAACCTCCATTATATTCGTTTATTTTTACAGCGATTTGCAGCCCACGTTCCTTTATAACCTTGCGTTATTTTCGTCTTATTACATTGTTTCTCTTCTTCGTTATATCTTTTCTTTAATTTGGGCAAATTTTGCAGAAACGTTTGTTCTTGCGAGAAGCAAGTTTTTAACGAGTTCGTGTTCGTTTTACGTGGAATCGAAAGCGAAAGCGCTTCTATCTGGCGGATCGATCGCCACTCGTAGAAATCGCAAGAATTCGTTCGGTCGAAATAATAACAAAAATGGCAAATGAAAGTGAAAAGGCGAGCAATTCGGCGAAAAATCTGACGAATCGTCGAATTTCCACGACCAGGTCGTGCTAACGTTCGAAATCGACGATATATCGCGCAAACACGATGTACGCGATCTGCTCGTGTTCGTCGATGTGTTCGGTCAAGAAATAATTTTTGCGCCAACAGTTACGATAACTAAACGCTCGGGATTAGCGTTCTCGCCCCTCCCCCCCCCCAAAAAAATCGTATTAAATAGAAATATTTTACACGTACGAGCGTCGATTACGTAAAGACACGGAAACGGAGACAAGACAGCCAAGTATTATTTTCATAATATATGCGTCGTTAATCATAAATTCGAGGCGTACGAAAAATATCAAAGACTGGCGATATTTTTCGCTGGAGCAGCAGGAGCCAGGAGCAGGAGAAGCAGGAGGAGCAGGAGGAGCAGGAGGAGGAGGAGGAGGAGGACGGGAGAAAAAGAGGAAAAGTCGACTGGACTTTCAAAGTCGAATTTCAACGAAACCTCTCGGAGCGATGTTCGTCGAAAACAGAGAGGACGACGAGGAATTTGAACGATCTTAAACGCGCACTCGACGCTCCGAAGACAATACGATCTTGTTAATCAAACAAAAGTCATCGTGCGCGAGTAATTTTTTCATGCCTGTTTCAACATTCGGCTTCGGAACGAGCGAGCGCAAACGCGAGAAACGGTCGTCCGCAGAGGACGAATTCTGTTCCCTATCGGTTTCGGATAAATTTGTAGGCGCGCGCTACGTTGCGGCGAAATTCGACGAAGTAACGAGCCGGCCGAGACTTTACCTAATCGCGCCAATAAAATAAGAATGCTAATTGCGCGCAACCGGCGAACGTAAAATCTCGTGGAAGGAGCGTTAAACGCGCGCCCGAGACCGAGAGTGAAAGTTTTTGAAAGAAAACGAACCGCGATGGGCAGGGCGCGGGACAGGCGAAAGAACGAAGAAGCTCGTCCGATTCGGAGATTCTATCGCGGTTACGCGTACCCGCGTCCGTTCGACGAAGCGACATAAACCGAAAAGCGGAGCAACCGCGTATCGTGCGATGCCTGCAACTCGCGTAGGCGACCGCTGGCATTAGAAAACCAGTCGTACCACGTATCTACCGAGGTTTTGACTCCTTTTTCGTCGAGTCGCGTACTCGCCGATTCGCGATCTCGATTCGTCGTACCGTCCACGGAGTTGCCAGTGACGAACGAGCTCGTCGACCGTCTCCGACGATGCGTGGTACAGCGAACGGGTATTTCGACAAATTAGAGGCGACTAAACGAAGAAGGAGGTGCGGCGTGACGTCGGCGAGCTCGTACGAGTCGAGCGGAGAATTTTTAAATAAATCGACCGATTTTGAAAATTAATTCGACGAAAACGCTCCCCTCATCCGTCGCCCTAAGGAAGCACGAGGCGAGAAGAGCAAAAAGGCGGTACCGATAATGGAGAACGGACGGAAAAATATCGCAGGTAGATGGAACATTTGCAACGAGGATTTGTCGGTACGTCCTAGGGATAATAGCTGGTGGAGACAAAACGCGTAGTAGGGTGGGGGGTGTGCTGGTGTGACTTCAAAGCCAACAACGATGACGATGCAGACCACGAGGACGGCTTGCTTTCCATTTGGATTCTGTGATTACTCCTCCTGTACGGCAGTCCTTTCCCGTTCGTCGTATCTCCATGGTCGGTGCTCTCATGCAAATAAATCGTGTGTTCCTTGCTGGAAACGCGTTGTCTCGCCGCGATCTTGTCCAACGTCGTTGATTCTCTCGAGCTTCGTTCAACGAGCGAGTCGCCTACAACCCTGTGTCGTATCGTCGATTCGAACGTAGTATCGAGACCGCGGCAACTCGACTTCGTCGCCACGAAGAAAATAATGCTGGTTCGCGCGATCGCCGATCTTTCTCGACAGTGAATTTCGATAATCCAAGTGTAAAAATTACGTCGTGAAGCATGGAGCGTGGCAAAATTTCCTCCTGCTCCTTCCTCTTCTTCTCGTTATTATTAACGACCTTTTGCGCGTCCGTCCGAGCGACCGCGCAAGACCCGATCACCATGAGGCAGATACTTCCAGTGTACGCGATTATGGAGAACATCGATCTTCTGAATTCCAGCAGATGTCGGACGGAGATAGAAGAATTTCGTAACGCGGTGGACGAACGAGTAACTTGGGGTCTGAGAGGTTAACGAAACTTTTAAGATATTTCCGTGTAACAAAATCGCCATCGCCGTATATCACGTTCGCCGCTCTGTTTCGTAACACGTCGTTTCTGTTGTTCGCATGTGGAATGCGTTAACACCGCGGAAAATTCGACTCGGTAACAATAAAAACAAGGGTTGCGCAACCGCGAGAATTCTTCTCGGCGTGATTACATCGAGTTACATCGCATTACGCGGCGATTGTGTCAGATGCGTAATTTTTTGTCCAGCCAACCCCCGATCCCGAGACTTTCTTCGCGCGTTGCACAAGAAACTAGTTTCTTAGGTCGGAGCGCGTAAAAGCGGCGATCGTGATCGCTCTTGTTCCCCTTTTCCCCGTCCGATCAGATGCAACTGGCCGCGTTTAAACGCGAAACGCCGAACCATGCGCTCGATTTTACCGCCGTTTCCCGTTCTCTTATCGTCGACCGTAGCACGAGCCGGCCCGATTATCGTATCATGTATTTTTCAAGCGATGGACACCAGTGGCGTGCCACCCAGAGGATTTCTCTATGGGAATAATCTTTGGTTAGGAGATCAAAAAGGTTGCTATATGCTCTCTGAAAATACCACGCTACCTCTCTCGGAGAAAACACGAAAGAACAATTCGATATACCGGAATCCGAACGAGGAGTTTCCACCTTTTCAGCTTCGTTTCTTTGTTGGACGTATGTGGCACAATAGCACCGTGCAATATCATATAGAAACGGAAAATGAAGTAAGCACGTGGATATTTTACATTTTGTATCTATCTATAGCTCGAATCTATAGCTCGAATCTATAGCTGCGACGATCGGAGTACGCGCAACGCGCGTTACCGTACTGGCGATCGTTTACGTTCGCCCCGTTAAAATAATCCACCGGACATTTACATACGTTCTACGAGCTTTTATCGTCGTAACGGGCTATCGCGCGTTTCGCACATTTCACAGATTTCAGAGATTACGCTTTTTTAGAACATGATCACGCTTGGACTTTGTTTGCCGGCATCCTGCAGCAAACGCGATGTAGCCACGATGCTGGATAAAGTGTTCCACGACGAAACTCTTTTGATCGGGAAACTTTTTTCCACCGGCTTCAAATTGATCGAAGTCAACGATTTGGTGAACGATCGTCAATGGCTGCTCTCTGCGAAGATGATCTCCATCATGTATGTAAATTTCGAACGTACAACGAACGCCTAACTAACGCGATGGAAAATGTTTCGGACGAAGCTTGAACGCTTTCGAGGTGGAACCTAATTTCACGCGATTAGCGTTTTTTTCGTAGTGGACGGACGAAGGTCAAATTTCTTCTCTCGAGTAGAACCGCCTGTGTATTATTTCGCGCGTATCGACTCTTTCAAACGCTCCGCGTCGACGATCGTCAAGGTTAAAGTATTCGAAGGCTTCGTCGTATATTTTTCGTTAAAGAGTAATCGATTAAAAAGTTTTCGACGCGCCAAAGTCGAAAATATCTTCGGGATTGTTGACTTTGTCGGTATCGAACCCCAATGTTTTCTTACGCGGAATGTTCTAAAGAGTCGATACGTGATAATGGCTATACCAATCGCTTACGAAACAAAAGCCGCTTTCTTCTTTCTCTACGAAACTCGACAAATGCTCTTCTTTTTGTACGAGGCAAAGTTGATATTTCGAATATTCGCGTCGTGTATCTCACTCGTTGATTTCAAATACATTCGACGAATCGTCGATTCGTTTAACATCGTACGCTTAACATTGACGCTTTTTCGCGTAGAAATTTTTTCGTTAGGAAAAAGGCTACCCACGTGGAATCGCGTCTCCCTCTGAAACCGTTCGACTTTCCTTTGAAACGTTTTTCGTTCGAATCGTTACTTGCGCGGCGATTCGCACGCACTGCCCTGTATATCGCGATCGAACGTTCCATGAAACATCGACTAGAAACTTTAAAACTTTGATTACAGAGGATTTTTGCTATTGTTAGTTGCTATCGCGATAGCAGCCACGCTATACGATTTGTTCGTATACCGACGGGCAAAAGAACACAGGAAAAAGGAATTTCTTACCTTTGAAAATAACAATACGAGCGGTAAGCGATACTACGCGCATCGACGCTTGGTATTATTTAACGCATAATTAATAATAAAAACAAAACGCTCGAGCAACCAATTCACGTAACGTACGATCAACTGTGAACAGAATTGAAGAGCGAAGCAGAAGAGAAATGCGATACCGATCACGAAGAACCGGTACTCTCAGAGTCGAAGCAGCAGAGTCGTCTCTTCCAGTATCTTCTCTGTTTTTCGCTTGCTTCCAATATACAGCAAATATTTCATCGCGAAAACAGCGAAGATAATACGCGTATGTTCCACGGCCTGAAATTCTTGGGAATGGTATGGATTATTACGGCGCACTCCGTCTTCTACTCGCTTCACACTATAAGTAAGAGATGAATTTTTATCGATTTTAATTTCGCCGATCCGATCCCATTCGATTTCCCATCTTTTTCACCTTTTCTTTCTTTCTTTTTCACGAAACGAATCGCCTACACAGGTAACAAAGTCGTTCTCTATACGATAACCGATACTATGCCCGCGCAAATCCTAAGCAACGCGACGTATTCCGTGGACACGTATTTCTTTATAAGTGGCTTTCTGTTAACGCATATATTTCTGAAGCAACGAGAAAAAGACAAGAGAATTCCGTCTATTACGGCAAGGACGAGTCAACTTATTAGAATGCTCGTGAAACGATACGTCAGGTATGGTATAGTGTTATAGACGCGCATCTGGTTCGATCGACGAAATTTCAACGATAATGAAACGAACGTTACTTCGAAGGATTACGCCTGCATATTTCATCGTTATATTGATCGTGATACTGAATTTTTCCTGGCACGATCGGGTCTCGTTAGTTCTTCCTCTTGAGCAACCGAGTTCGAAATGCTCGAAATATTGGTGGACCAATATACTCTACATCAACAACTTCTACAATTGGGACGAGTTAGTACGTGTGATTATACTCGATAATTTACTAGACGATAAACGTCGTTTGCGTTACTAGAAAAGAATCATTTCAGAAAAAGTAATACTTTCAGTGCCTGACCTGGAGTTGGTACCTACCCAATGATATGCAGTTCTTCATATTTGGCAGTATTCTCCTAATGTTATCCGTCACGTGAGCTTATAATTTGCTTTTTCTAATCGTTCGTCGTCTAGTTTTATCCGATCGATAAACTTAATCGAAGGTTATTTTCAGACATTACAATATCGCCCTGGGAATAGGCTGTGTTACGCTGCTTTCGTCCATAGGATCAAGCCTTTACACGGCGTACACTCTCGATTACCAACCTTCGTAAGCAGAAAAATAATACAAAATGTTTCCAACTTTATCTACCATAGGCAATCCATAGAACATTATACATATATACATTATACATATATTTACTTTCTTAGATTGGACGAACAATATAGGACGTTGACGTACCTTTATGTACGGCCTTGGATCAGAATACAGCCGTATCTCATAGGAATGATCACGTGCCAACTTCTTTCAAAGTGGAATTACGAAGTGAATTTATCAAAAGTAACATATTCCGTTTCTACCAGTTTCTTCGTTATACGTACATTTCCGCGCATCGTTAAACGACACGATCGAATCTATGTTTCAGAGAAGCTTGATCATTGGTTCGACGTTGGCTATTTTATGTAATTCTGTGATTCTATTCTGCACGGTGATCAGAGACATGCCCTTGAGCATATCCGTCCCTTATATAGGCTTGAGTAGAGCAGGCTGGGCCATGGGCATTGCCTGGCTCATAGTTACGTGCGCGACGAATCACGCCGGTAAATCCACGTTTCTTTAAATCGTCTTCTCTTTCCTGAACATACTACGTTTCTATCGCAATATTTTTTTACGCTTGCAGGTATGGTGAGGAAATTCTTGTCGCTAAATTTTTTCGTTCCTTTGAGTAGATTAACCTACTGTGCCTATCTCATAAATCCTATTCTTATACTTTCGTTAAATTCGATACGTGTTTATCCCTTTATCGCCGATGAAATCGTGATTGTAAGTACAATCGAATAATTTCGTTCGAACAATTCCGGCGTAATTTTAATATGGCCTAATAACGTTTTCTCCTCTTTCAGGGTGCTTTGTCCCTTGCAATGGTTATCTGTACTTTTATCCTTTCGATTCTGATATCCGCAGTAGGAGAAGTGCCGTTTATATTGCTCCTTCGATTATACAATAATCCACAAGGAAGAAAGAAATGAGTGTACACTAATAAATGTCTCCGAGTCCTTTGATCGATAAACTAATGGAACGAAGTCTTACACGCATACACACACGAAACTTCCAAACATTCCACTTTATTACGATGTTGTCCCGGTTCGATGCAATAATTCATCGTTTCAGGAGACATTCGTAACTTTATTTACTATTTCGTAATACCTGGGAAGGAGAATTAATTTATAGAATCATTTGCGCAAAAGTTGTAAACGTTCTTCTTTATCAACGAGCATTTTGTACATAGCGATATGATTCGAGCGAAAAGACGAAGCTCATATACAAATAACTACAGATCACTGAAGAATGAGAAAGAATCTTTGCCGTGCTATGAGTGAACCGGCGAATGTATCCTAGGTGGTGCCGGCGATGTCATTGAACGATTTGCTCGACTAGCCTGTTCGCGACGACCTTCCTCCAGTTGCTTTTCCAGTTGTTCCTTCAAGACTAGCAGTTCTCTTGTTCGTTGATAAACAGGATCCTTCGAGAACACGGTGAAAAGAACGCGTAACCGATGATTTAAGTACACCTATGGAAATTAAATCGCTAGGACGTTTTACATACCTGCTGTCGCATACTGGGATTCCATCTACAATACAGACTTTTCCACGGCTTGATATACCTCATACTAGCGATTGGCATTAGAACGAGCTGGTAATTAGGAGCAGCCCAGTACAAAGGATTTTGATACAAGGATAACTGACTATTCGTATACGACCATAACGAGACAGTTTTTTGTTTCACTTGTTCGTGAACTCGTTCGCGTTCGCTGTAGACGTATTTATAAACGGATAGTTATAACAGACACACAACGGCTTTACGGAAAATATTTCGCATACCTGCTAAATAGAAATGTGCCAAATCTACAAGAGTATAAATGATCGAGAATAGTGATTAGAAAGTGTTCGTTAAACTCGAACGCATTGGGAAACTGTCGACTTATTTGCCACACACAGTCCATAAACTGTAAAAATACTGGAGATCTATCCGCGTCGCTATGATGTTCCACACCATGACCGATCCTCTAAAATACATTATTAGAATTGTATATCATTTTCGCTTCGACGTGCGTGATACCTAATTTAAATGCGTATGCATCGTCGCATACCTGCTGAAATTTATGACCAAAACTTAGCCATTCCTTTTCTATAAGCACTTCAAAACCTTTGATGGTTCTGTAATACGGATCTAACATTAACATGGCGAGAGCCGTGAGCTGTAAAAAGTTATAAATATTAAGAATACATTAAGTTTTAAGCGCACTTCGTTGTTTCTTAATTACCTGTGCTGTTCTATCCCAACCGTCCGAACAGTGCACTAGTACCGAAGTTTTATGATTTTCAACTTTATCTACAATTCGTAGCGCTCCCGCGAGTACATATTTTATATGCTTCAACCAAACGGTAGATTCTATACCTGATAGCCATCTGGCCTCGTCAATCGTTGGAAAGCATAATTCTAAATGATAATCACTAATATCGATAATAATTTCTTATTGTCAACTTAATAAAATTATTAGCGACTAAAATTATATATCTACCTTTTAATTTTCTCAGGCTCTCTCTCATTACATGTATATTGTGAATATCAAGAAATACGAGCTCTGCATTTTGATAAGCGTCCTCACTCTCGTAACCACCGCCTTTAGCTTTGTTCGCAACTGCGTTAGGCATTGGTCTAGCGTCCATAATAAAAAGTTTGTGACTTTGCGCATTGGCATCCATTATTAGCTGAACGTAACGTTCGTCCTCGCGACTACGCTTGCCACCAACGCCTACCAACGGTTGAGCGCAACGAGTTATCGTTGCCTGACTCTCTGGGTGGATCCACGATAATACCGGGAGCCTTCCTCTACTTCGAAAGGCTGCCGATGCTTGTAAATCTTCGTCGGTTGCTGCCGCAGGTACTGCCCATACGACTGGATAACTATCGCATACTGAATACGTATCGTTGATCTTCGATATCTTCCACATATCGTTGTTTACACCCTGAAAATAATCGTGACGTCAATACGTCTCCTGGTTATTAATTAACGTCATAACGATCTTTACCATTCGTTTTAATTCGGCTATAGGCTCGTAAACGTTCCATCCATTTTCAGGAAACGTCTCGGAATATTCGAACGCGAAAAGAGGTAATTTATGAGACAGAGGAAACGAATACTGTTGAAGTTTCTCAAAAACATCTCTCCTGGAATGATTCTCTTGCTTGTGAGCGAATCTAAGATTTCGCATGTCTTTACAGAACACTTCGATGCCATAGGAGTTTTCGCCTTTGCTAGAAGCGCCACCGACTTTCTCTATTCTACTAACAACCCCTAGTGGTACCTCGACTACGTAAGGTGTCTCGCGGTCTACACTCCGAAAATGAAGCTTGTAATTTGTAATGCTAAGAATTCCTCTGACTGGCCCTGAGTAAGGACATACGTAAGTTACTTCGTGAGCAATGCCTTGTACACGCTCTCCGTTTAAAAGAGGTGGACCTGTTTCACCACCAGATAAATTCTGTAAAAGAAGAACAAATATGTTGATAGGGCAAACGTTAAATAATTAAACGAACATCTGCTACTTTAGCTAGGTATGTATGTAATATATATATATATATATATATACTGAAAAAGTAAAAGTGACGAAACAGAATTTCTCAACAAGAGATGAAACGTACCAAACGAATGAAATCAAAAACATATTGTCTGGAAAAAAAAAACAAATTCTGATAACATGTAAATGCTCGAGAAATTAGGAAGCTACATTAACTCTAATCATCTATATAGAACTCACTTTTACTTGATTGTCTTTTCTAGCTTCTAAAGCAGAGACAATATTATTATCTGTCGAAGTAGAGCTCGAGGAAAAACTTTTGGAATGTGACGCTTTATCCCAGCTTTCCTAGAGAAGTTCAATGCTTGCATACAGTTGGATATAATTAAGTCTAATTTAAAAACCTGTACTATTGATTAAACTAAAGTATATTACCGATTCTTGACCCATCTTAGAATTAAGAGAGCTACTCTTGCTATCTGAATTGAGGGAATCGGAGCTGGCATTTTTAGAATTGTTTTGCTCGATATTCAAAAGCTCGGCGCTACCTCTCTTCTCCATATTTCCAACTTGTACAGTTTCTTATATTTTCACATCTGGTAAAATATTCATTACATAATTCCACCTACTACATTTTTTTTTTAAATGACACCTTCAAAGACAAAGTATTAAATTTTATTACATATTTATAAGGTATTAAATCGTTTGTTTAAAATTTTTGTTTACATCAACAAATTAAATAATAAATATTTAGAAAAAGTACTTGCTGCGATAGTAATCAAATAATAAATCGTACAACATTTATAAGACAAAATATAATGTATAAGGAACACTAGAGTCACACATCTTCGTCCAAATCACTTAACCTCAAAATCCTGAAAACCTTATCGCTCGAGTCACTGTAAATATAAATTTCTCTAAACATAATTGCACAGAGATAACATTTGAGTATTTACGTAGAACGTAAATTTTAAATACAAAATAAATTCTAACACTGATGTAAACAAAATTTTCTATATTTTATGCCACACCCAGAAGGGTTATAATTATAATTTTTATACATAACAGGATACACTGATCTCAGTATTGTTTATATATAAACAGTAATCCCCCAAAACACTAACCTCGTTCATAACGTATCGTACGAAGTATTCTATTATGCTCGATCCTTTCAGTGTAACTCGTGTTTGACAGATATACTTCACGTCAGTTTGGAAACTGAAATATGTTTTTATATAGAAAAGCGCAGGACTGACGTACTTAATATACTTCGCACTACGCTCACTTTAGCGCTGATGACACAACATTATCGGCCAAGTCGTGGCCGATATTATCGGCTATGGTTAAAACATGGTAAATTCTTTCTAAAACGCCTGAAAGTGCGATACAATAAAGAAAAGTAAGCTTCTTATTTTGTATTTTCCAATATCAACCCGATGTACATACTTTACGCTCTATCTACTAATTACTATACTTACGAAGGTACATAAAATATATTGATTCCACACGAAGTTGTTCCCGGATTAAATCGCGATCAAAAGTGCTTTCGAAAGGTACTGTTTGATTCACAAAGCCAAAAAGAGAAATTACATTACAAAGCACTCGAATGAAAATTTGAACATTTGAATTTGTTTAAATTTAAATTCAATTACAATTTAAATGCACTTCAATTTAACATTCGGACATTACTTTTACGATACCTTTCCCGTACAAGACAGCCAAATTAAAAAGAAAAAGATATTACGTCAAACCATAAACTTTAGGCTACGATCGACGAAGTACATAATTAAAATTTGTATGCACGCTTATTGCTTAAATTTGATTTTTTTAAATGGATGCTGAAATCAGATTAAAATTACATGCTGCAAAATAAATGCATCTAGATTCGTATCGTAGCATAGATATTTCGGGATAATTAAATCTTGTTAGTCGGATGTTTAATCGAACTGTACGTAAACTGCTTGCCACTCTCCTTGGAGGAGTTAAAAATCGTAGATTGCATTTTATACAAGAATTTATATATATCGATCAACGCATATAACTTCATCCTTCTTCCCTCTTCCCCCTTATTTTGACGATAAGTTTGTAAAGTTTTTGCGTAAGAAGCGTTCAAAGTGGCGTAATATTTAAGCGACAGCCTTGATCCGTTTAGGTATACTTAATTAGTAAAATATATATTCTGGGTTTTCTCAAATGATATCAAAATCTTTCGAATAGGTTCTACGTTAATTATTGGGGAAAATTACGAATTTATTTATAAAAAAAAAAAAATTGCTCAACGGAACAAAATATAGTTGTCAGTGTTCGACGGTGATGCAGCGATTTCGATTAAGTGTATTTCACAATATAGAGCATATTTGTAACATGAAATATAAAACTCTCATCATCAACTATATATATCGTTAACTTTAAACATGGTCAACATATAAATATACAATCATCACGGTAAGTTAAATGTATCCATACAATACATACAATGAATCTATACACGGTACAAGTAAGACCCTACA